AGATTATAGGCTCCAGACTACTGATGAGGAACAGTTGTCTACCCTGCCCAGTGACATGCAGAGCAGAGTGGAGGGAGGCATAGACGAAGTTGGTGAGGTTGCTCACGAGGGAGCAGCCCCATCCTTCTTCACAAGGAATACCTGGGGAAGGGTGATTTAACCAGACACTAGGGGAAAATCTGCCAGGAATACCTACTGTTTTCTTTGATGCATACCTTCCTGGCTTTCATGAATACTGCCTTGTGAATCTTGCATCATGTTTCTTGACTCTGAACTTTGGACTTCATTTGTGGACTTTATTTATTTTTATTTATTTATTTATTTTTATTTGTCAATCGCTTACAAGATAATACCGTGTTTCTCCAACAATACGGCCTCCACCAATAGGAAGGCCCAGCATGATTTCTAGGCATGAGGTGAAATTAAGCCCCGCCCCCAAAATTTAGGCCTATTTAAACCATGCGTTTCCCTGCCATTTCTCACATTGTTTGTTAGAACTACACGAGGTGAAGAGAAATGGGGGGGAAGGGTGGGGGGATGGGGAGAAAACTTGCCTTTAGGAGTGCCCTGCAGGTAGCCTAGGCTAGAACACCCTGATAGCTGATAGAAGCTCCCTGAAGGCAGAGTCCCCAGCTGCTTCAGGGCATGGCATGGCCACCAGTGTCCACTCGCCTTTAGGCAGTCTCTTTTGGGTGATGGAAGCTCCCCAAGTGCAGTCACCAGCCACTTCGATCAGCCGGTAGAAGCGGCCTTGGGGCGAGGGGAGTGTGTGTGTGCACTTGCCCTGAGGCCGCTTCTACCAGCTGATAGAAGTGGCTGGTTACTGCATTTGGGAAGCTTCCATCACTCAAAAGAGACTTCCTAAAGGCGAGGGGACACGGGCAGCCACACCTCACCCTGAAGCAGCTGGGGACTCTGCCTTCGGGGAGCTTTCATCTGCCGATAGAAGCAGCCTCACGGTGAGGGGAGTGTCTGTGTACGCGTGACCCATGGCCGCTTCTACTGGCCGATCGAAGTGGCTGGTGACTGCACTTGGGGAGCTTCCATCGCCCGAAAGAGACTACCTAAAAGCGAGGGGACACGGGCAGCCACGCCACACCCTGAAGCGGCTGGGGACTCTGCCTTCAAGGGAGCTTTTGTCTGCCGATAGAAGCGGCCTCATGGCGAGGGGAGTGTGTGTGTGCGCTCGCCCCGAGGCCGTTTCTACCAGCTGATTGAAGTGGCTGTTGACTGTATTTGGGGAGCTTCCATCACCCGAAAGAGACTGCCTAAAGGCGAGGGGACATGGGCAGCCACGCCACGTTGTGAAGCAGCTGGGGACGCTGCCTTCAGGGAGCTTTTGTCGGTCGATAGAAGCAGCCTCGTGGCAAGGTACGTGCGTATGGGCTGCTCTAGGTGGGGGAGGAAATTAAGTCACCCCCGAAAAGACGGCCTAGCCGATTTTTCAGAGGTCAAAAAAAAATAAGGCCCGTCCTTATTTTGTGAGAAACACGCTAGGTATAAGCATATACATAGTTATGAATACATGAAATTGGTACATATAAGAAAAATAAAAGAAACAGTAGGACAGGGATGGTAGGCACGTTGGTGCGCTTATGCACGCCCCCTACAGACCTCTTAGGAAAGGGGTGAGGTCAATAGTAGACAGTCTAAGGTTAAAGATTTTGGGGTTTGGGGAAGAAACCACAGAGTCAGGTAGAGTATTCCAGACATTGACCACTCTGTTGCTGAAGTTGTATTTCCTGCAATCAAGTTTGCTGCGGTTAACCTTGAGTTTGTATCTATTGTGTGCTCTTGTGTTGTTATGGTTGAAGCTGAAATATTCATTGACAGGTAATGATCATTGCAATGTATGATTTTATATACCATACTTAGATCAAACCAAAAACGGCGTAATTCAAGGGTTTTCTAGGTCTAGAATTTCGAGTCTGGTGGCATAAGGTATTCTACAAAAAGTAGAGGAGTGGAGAACTCTTCTTGTGAAATATTTCTGGACTTTCTCAACTGTGCTAATATCAAATACGTAATGTGGGTTCCAGACTGATGAGCTATATTCGAGTATTGGTCTAGCAAATGTTTTGTATGCTCTAGTTATTAGTGTAATATTACCAGAGAAAAAGCTACGTAAGATTAGCTTAACAAGGTCTTGACTATTCAGCCTGTATTTTATTTTCTTATTTTTTTTTGCCAATATGTAGGACAGAGCATTTATTTGTTGAGATTTGAAGTTGCCATTTGTTTGACCATTTTGATACATAGTCAAGGTCTTTTTGAAGGGTAGCAGTATTGTCTGTGGTGTTGAATAGTTTTACATCATCAGCGAAGAGAACGCAGTTGCTCTTAATATGATCACAGAGGTCATTTATGTAGAGTATGAAGAGAGTTGGTCCTAGAACACTGCCTTGGTGGACACCACTGTTGACAGGTACAGAATTTAAAAAGACGCTCCCAATTTTGACCATTTGTTATGCAGTTGTCCAGAGATACCGTAAGATTAGCCATGACAACCAACTGGTTGAGCTTGAACCAGTCACTCTCTCAGCCCAACCCATCTCACAGGGTTATTATCGGAAAATAGGAGGAGATAGATATTTTGGATATGTTCTCTGGCTTGAGTTAGTTGTAATAATAATAAAGGCAGAATATAGATAAAATAAAATGAAATAAGATAAAATAAGATAAGATAAAGAAAAATACTCTAATAAGTTCCCATACAGTGTAACTGGGATCCTTAAAACAGTGAAAACATAGTGACACAAAACATAAATGAAGCATTTAAGGTCACATGATTTATTTGTTTATTTTCATTTTGTTTTGTTTATATTTACAGCATTTAAATACTACAAATTTTAACAATATTGTATATGGAGTTATAGATAGCGTCCCCATTTATATATAACAAATTCTGCCAAAATAATTTACCTAGATTATAGGAGTAGATTTAAAATGACTCATTGTAAGTAAGTTCCTAAAGATATGCACCAAGGGGCATGGGAGGGGGAATCAACTTAATTTCTATAAAACAATAGTAATTCATCTCTAAAAATTAAGAAAGTTATCACTTGATGCACTGTGATCCTTACAAGTTTATGTGATAATAAATAAATTAATACCCAAGGTGCCATTAAATGCTGTTATTGGTTTTGATACCGTTGCCCTTCTAAAATAATTGTTCTATAAGCACTGGTGAGTTTGAATTAGTGATGATGCACAAGAAAGCTCATCTACCATTTAACTGATGAAGTTTAATGAAGTAATGGCTTCATTAAATTTCCTTAAAACAGGAAAATATGGGAGTTTATTAAAGGAAGGATAAAAACTGCCAATATTCTAATGCCTTTTTACAAATCTGATATGATCAAATTTACACTATAATATACCTTGAAAAAGTGTATTGTATAAGTAGAAAAGAGAAAGAGAAAGGCAACCAGTGTTCAACTAGTACAAGAACTGGGTAAATCATTTGTGATCTCTAAAAACCATAATGTCACTGTTTTAACTATCTGTATGTAATATCATGAAAGATGTTTTCCAATGTTTATTCTAGTCTCAGAAAAAATACTATTCAGTTTATATCTTACAATCATATAATTCACCTCTAAAAGTTAATGTTACACCTGAAAACTTCGACCTCATTCTGTTGTCCTGTTTATTAATTTATGCACATGTATTTATTTAAATATTGTGCTGAGCTCAGTTGTGATTGATATGCAAATTACATGTGCAGATCTCTTAATTACAATTACTGAATACTGGATGTAGTTCAGCGTTTCCTACATTTGTTTAATGGTTTAGAAAAAAGGAGTCTATTTTGAAAAATGCCCTCATCTGTTTGTTCTCTCTTGCTTCTCACAGATTTCAGTTTTTATGTTGTTTATAGTGTTCACAAAGCCTGTTGTGGTTTTGTTGCTCCATGCTACCACAGAGTAGAAGTTATAGCTAATACTGTACTATGTAGTGTTGTTCCTTTAATCTAGACTAAAACTAGCTCATTGTATGATATGGCTAATGTAGCCATTTTGTTGGCATCTTTTGATAGCATTTCCTTCAAAATATTATCTTACGCCTGTTTTTGTTTGACATTTGATCCCAAATATTATAAGCCGAAGGGGGACAGGAAAGAAATTTTCTGCTTAGAGGTTTTTTCTTTAAAGAAGTAGTCCTAGAAAATTAAAGTCAATCTGTTTTTCAAGATTTGCAAATGGTACATGTATAATTCATGATATACTAGTCTGTTCCAAATCAGGAACTGGCAAACCTTTCAGATACTGAGCACAAAAAAATTAAAAATAAAAGTGCACATTATTAAAAAAAAAACTCAAAAAGAATCCAGCATTTCAGCTGTTACCCTTCAGAACTCATACTAGCTCATATAAGAACTGGGAAAATTTGTGAGATTTGATGATCTAAAAAAAAATCTGAGGAATATAATATCTTAAAAAGACAATTTGGGGGATTCTTCAGATACCATCTAGTTCTGTTGAGGTCTGAATACCTCCGAGAATCATGCTATCAGAATTATCACCATGTCTAGTAGGCCATTGCTAATTCAGTGCATGAATAATAGAATCCAATGTGTTTAAAATAATAGAAATACCTGTTCATGTTACAGTTAAGCTTGCCAGCCTACATTGTTGCTATATGATCTTTAAAAGGATATAGATGAACAGTAGATATTATATGTTACACATTTCAAACTTGTCTGTTTTCAGTGTGTTGTTTTTGGAAAAAAAACATTGATCCCCCTCCCCCATTTGATAATTTATGTGCAATCTTAACCTTAAATTAAAATATTATAACTTACATAGTTGAAATTAAAACAGTTACATTCATAGTGGTCTTTTGATATTTGCCAATGAAGTTGTCTTACTTATCACAAACAAAATCATAGATTTAATTTTTGTTATATTTGGAATAATTCTTAAATGTTCTCCATCTTGGTTAAGAATGCTGAAAGTGGTTTGGAATTACATATTCATGTTTTATTTTAAATTTGACAGGTACTCTGGATATTGAAGAGAGAAATCGTCAAATGAAAATGAACAAATACAAACATGTAGCAGGATCAGATTCGAGGCTGGAACAAGATTATCATTCTCAGGCAAGGGCATTTTGTTTTGAAAAACAGCAGCATATGCAATTGTCTGACTTGATGAGGCAGTAAGAGGCTAGTAATTGTTTCATGGATAGCATAGTTAATTAAGAATGCAATACTGATATGCATGTTTATACTGGGAAGTAAATTAGACTATAAGAATTCTTTTCTGCTCCTAACTTTTCTCTAAGTTTCTAGAGAAGCCCTTACAAAGGTCAAAGATTTTAAGAGAGCTCTATGGTTTTGTTGTCTGACAGAAACCTCACTTTCCTTCTATGCACTCATATGTGCTCTCTGCAAAAAGTATGAAAGACAAGACAGTCTATAGCAGTAGTATTTACTCCCATGAGAAAGTATATAGCTAGAGCTAAACGATTCTGGATAATTTTCAAATTAATAATTGTGCCAAATTCATTGTGATTCTATGTGAATAGGAACTAGTTTACCAAGTTTAGAAATTACCAGGAATGTTAAGCAAATGTTCATTTTAAAAGTATTAAATGACAAATTAATTTTGTGGTGAACTGCAGTAATCAGCCATGAGTTTAGTAGCCCATAACTGATGATAAAATAAATATCTGAAGTTTTAATGTTAAAACCCTATTTTCCATTCTTTACCCTTGTGTGTAAAAATATTTTAGAGCCTTCTTTTTTGTAATACAACACTGAGGGCTTCAAGATTCAATCCTCTATATAATATATTGGAACATACTATTACAGATGTGAGCAGATGATTACTATGTGGCACATAAATGTGAGGTATTCTGATACATATGGATTTACTTTGATATTCAATAAGATAAATGCAGAGGAATTCAATTCCTTAGCTCTTTGGAAGAGCTACATTTTCCCCAGGAAGCCTATAACTTGTCCTATACAACTGCCTCACAATTCTAGGAAAAGACATACTTTCTTGAAGGAGTTGCAGACTGCAGCTATTTTGTGCCTCATACATTCTGCAACACCATTTTGTAACTCAATCCAAAGCTCTGTACAACCCTACAGATAGTTTTTGTTGAATTCTGTATAGAATGATTGGCTGATAGTAATATCCTTACTTTTGGAACACAAAACCTAATCCTGAATAAACATTAGTCAAACAACATTACGCTATATCTTGCTTATTCATCTAATTTGATTTAAAAAGGACTGATATATTCTTAGTAAATTAGTGTGCTATTTGACTGTTCATCGTGTGGCAATAAATATTTTCCTTATATTCATTATAATCTTAGAAATATTGGCACAAATGATTTGTAGCTGACATTATATGTTCAGTGTTTGCTTAAAATGACTACTACATTTCCTGCAATGAAATGTGCAATTATTTTATGAAGTATGACTACTAGCATTGATAATATGGTGGGCTTTTATTTTTGAGATTACACCCTCTAATATGTTTCCACCAAGTGGGTTATTTTGCATTACTTTCAGGTCTTCAGAGAGCCTTTTCAGGGGGTAATAGTGGTTCTGCCAGAGGGAGGAGTTGATAACTAGAAGACTGTGGTTTTTGTGATGGAAAATATTGAAGAAATGGATCCCCAGGAGGGAGGGTGTGCATTCCAGAGGAGTAAGAGTTTACTTAGCCCAGTTATTAAGTGGGAGAGAAAGAGGGTGAAGAGCAGGGGTGTGATTCAAGCGGTGTAACAACCGGTTCGGTGAGCACGTGCTTCATGCGCACACAGAGGGTTTGCTACTGACCTTCTCCTGCAATCCTGCACTCTCCCTGTGTGTTAAACAGCTGATGCGCAGCAATCTGCTGTGCTGTATGAAGCAGCTGAGCTTGAAAACCAGGACATAAAGATCAGAATAGAGCCAGGGTGTGCGGGGCCAGCAGCTGATTGTCGGAGCAAAACGGTTCGCTTACAGATGATCCTTGGAACTACCGATTCAGCCAAACCAGACCAAACCAGTAGAATACCACCCCTGGTGAAGAGCAGCCCTCCCTAAGAGTTTACATATTATAGATGCAGATAGTAGAATCTTCTCAGTCTGGCAAAATTTTGTCTATAGGTGTGAAACAATAAAAATCTCAGCTTGGAAGAATTGGCAAGTGTCAATCTTGGTCTTTGGGCTGACAGTTTTAGCCTTTTTTTAAGATGGCCAGTGGACAAAATGATCTTTTTTGTTGTTGAATAAGGTTCTGGTCTCATTAAGATTATTGAACTCTTCTACATTAAATTAATATTATCAAAATGAAAAGTAGATAGTGTGGATTCCAGTTTTGTAGTTGGCTATGTGGAACATCTTGGATGATTAAACATTTGAGCATTGACTGATTGATTAATTACATTACATATACTTGAAATTTACAAGCTTCAATATTCTGCTGTGTGCACACTCACATGCATATCTCTTACAGAGCTTAACCCTCAGCCTTAACTCATAAGTCACATAAGCATAAGCAGAAACAAAATGTACATTTTTTTAGATATGCACATTTTGTACATAAAATATAAAGTAGTAATAATTCACTCTTTGCAGTGGATGAAGCTAATTCCAGCTCTATCACTTTGAGCAAAGACTCTATCATAGATGACGGCTATGTACCATGATGATGAAAAAAATGAAAACATAATGTCATAAATTCCGAGCCTTTCATACTTACATCCTAACATCACAACATATTCTTCATTCCATCCCAACCTCCATTGGCCAGATGTCAGTCAGAGATTATCAGATTTCAAGTTCTACTATATCCTGTGGCATGGCCAGACATTCGGTCATTATAAAGGCCATGATGGAATATATGTGAAGCTCATACATTGATTAAACATATATAGAATGAATCATGAGTGATCTGACATTTATGGATTGAATAATTATTCCAACCTATAGGACACATTATTTACACTGTATTTGTTTGCTAAACTTGAATTTGCTTCTTCTGTAGGCAATCGGATATCTAATCTGTTTAGGAGCACATTTGAAAAAAATGTGTGGATATTTAACTTAGTAAATTAAATCAATTGATTTAAATTAGTCAAATTTTGCAGGCATATGTTAATCAAATATAATGATTCCATTGAATTAACATGAAGGTTCTTGTTCTTTACTTATGCATGAGGTAAGGATTGCATATAAACTAATACTACTGGTTTATTTCTAAAATTGCAATTCTGCTGACTTTTATGTGAAAATGAAAGAATAGAATTGGATATATCATGGAGGAACTATGAGTTCTGAAAAATACTAAGAGACATCTAGAGTGCTGCTAGAGGAAAACAAGGGATGAATCCGGCTGGACATGATTTAAGAGATGCAATTAAGCCCTACTTTGTGGCAGTAAGAGCAGTGAAATACTATTATCACTCCACTCTTATTATGCCTGCAAAGTGCTGCCCAGTGGCCCTGTTCAGGATCACCCAGTCCCTCCTGCGACAGCAGGACTCAGGTGATCATCTTCAGGGCCATTCAGAGGAATTTAAATACTTGATGGACAAAGTTGCTTGGACTCATTCCCAGCTAGAACCCATCCATTGTCAGAATCTTTTGAGATGTCTGGAAAGATCTTATCTGTTTATCTTGGAACCGTTGAACCTGATGAAATGGACAGGGTCTTTGATGCTGTCAATGCAACCACATGTCAGTTAGGTGAAAGTCACGGATGGTGGCAGCCAGGCAGGTTCAGGCAATAACAAATTCTTCACTACAGAGAGGATGTTTCTTTTAAAGCTGCCCTGGTTTGCCCCTCCTCAAAAATTATCTCTTGATCCCATCTGTCTGGACAATTTCCATCCAGCCTCCCACCTACAATTTTAGGGAAGATGGTAGAGAAGGTGGTTACATGATAGCTTAAGAGGGTCCTGGATGAAAGGGATTATCTAGATCTCTTCTTGTCAGGTTTCAGGCCCAGTTATGGGCTGAATAAAACAGCATTGTTTGCAATTGATGATATCTAGTGAGAGTAGCATGGGATAATGGATCCATCCTTGTTCACGTTGACTTCTCAGCAGCCTTTGATACCATTAACCACGGAACTCTTTTGGGCTGGCTATGGATTGTGAGCTATGTATTGGCTATGTATTGGATTGCATAGTCTTGTGCTAGCTTGACTCCTTTCCTGGTCCCACAGGAAGTGAGAGTTCCAATCCACAGCCACTCCTTTGTGATGTGCGCAGGGCTTGATATCCCCTCCACTCCTTTTTATCATTCACATGAAGCCACTGGGTGAGATCATTCACCATCCTGGGATGAGGTTCCATCAGTATGCTGATGATACTCAAGTTTACAGCTCCATCCTGGGTGATCCAAATGTTGCTGCTGCTGCCCTCTCAGAATGCCTGCAGACTGGTAGGGGTCTGCATGGGGGACAACAGACTTCAGTTGAATCCTGGTGAGACTGAATGGCTTTGGGTGTGTGGAACTTGGGGTTCCAGGACTTTAACACATTCAGTTCTGGATGGGGTTGCACTATCCTAGATAGATTTGGTGTGCAATTTTGAGATTTATCCAGATTCATGAGTCATGTTCAATGAACAGGTGGCAGTTGTGGCTAGGAGAACTTTTGTGCAACTTTGTGGCACAGTTTTGCCCATTCCTGAATTGGGAGTCATGCACTCACTCAAGCCATGGTCATGTCACATTTGGACTACTGCCTTGCACTTTGTTTGGAGCTATTCTTGTTTTTTTTAAAATAAAGTTTTATTTGGGTTTTCACACATACAAAATACAAGTAAAACATCTTTTTTGAAAATAGCATCGTCCCAGGTTGAACTTCTTTATACAGACACAAACTCAATTTCATGCTCATTTTTGTGTTCTATTCTATATCTTATACTATTCTACATTTTCTATATAGTTTTTCCCCTCTTTTAATTTTATCAATTTTATTTTGATTATCTCATCTCAATTCAAATCATTATATTTATACTTTTCTCTGTTCTGTTTCAATTTCATATTATCTTTTCTCATTAAACAAATTTTCTCCTGTAGTTACTAATTGGAGTATGACACCTTTATATCTTTTAATTATATCCATTCAACTCTTATTTAAACTTCAATAT